TTTCCTAGAAACCGTTCAGTTTACAACCGAAATATCTCGAAAACGGGACATCGCACAAAAAAATTATGAAGAGAAAGAAAAATTATTATGAAGATTAATTTTCGATTATGAAGATTAATTTGTTGAACAAAAGTATTTCTAATTTGAAAAAATTTAATAGGGTAAATTTTTTAGTAATTGGCCACTTTGTGAAAAATTTGAGATTTATTTTTTCTCTTTTTTCATCTTATTTCCTCAATTACTTTTTAAGTAAGTACCTCAAATTACTCCCAGTTTTTTTAAATAAAGAGATGTTTTCTATTGCATATTAATTTTTTTAAATCAGTTAATAATTTATGAAGGTAAAATATTCATTTGAACAATCCCCCCCCAGCAGCGATTTTTTTCATAAAATTGCCATACCTTTTTGATTCCGAAAGACTATAACACGTTAAAGATTGATCCTGTAAACATAACTAAAGACTATACCACCTTAAAGATTCATCCTTTAAACATAACTGAATGATACTGGCAGTACTGCTTATGAAAATTTTGTAATGCAAATTTAAGTAATATTAATTACCTATATATACAGCGAATAATTTAATATAAAAGAAAATAGTTAAATTATATTCTTTGAAAATATGACATTGTAAATGGTTACAATTTATAATTTTGTTTCAAAAACAAAAATAATAATAATAAAAATTAAAGAAAATGTTAACCCTCGTTATCCCAAGATGTGTCCAATGGACGTACTTCACTATATTTTTCAAAAATTATTTTATATTCGATCTGTTTGTACATTTTATCATACAACTTAATTTAAAATTACATTGAAATTAAATTATGCAATCTACATTGACAACTACCCGAAATAGTCTAGGCCCATAAGGGTTAATTAAAAGAAAAATAACTTTAAAATAAATTAGTTTTATTCGTGACACTTATCCATTTTAGATTTTAAGTATTACAAAAAATATCAATAAAATTTTAAAAATTTATTGAAATTCTTCATTTAAACAATAAAAAATTCGCAATTTACTTTACGAAAATTAAATGGAAAAAAATTCTTTAAATAAAATTTTAACTACAATCTTAATAAACAGTTTATCGTAAAAAGTATAAAACTTAATCGTAAATTAAAATGCTCTTCAATTAAATTGCACTTTAAAAAGCAATAAAATGAAATTTTATATAAAAAGAAATTATCAAAATTACTTTGTATAAAATGACTGTTTTCATGCAACCCTTAAAATAAATCAGTAATCTAAAATCAAACTAAAGCAAAAAGTTTTTGATCCCATAAGTTTAGAACTGTTATTTTAACAATGAAACAAAAAAAAAATGCATTCCCTTTTATTATGCAAGTCAATGGTTTCTTCTTTTGATTAATAAAATAAATAATTTTTCTCTATATTCCCATGACATTATTGCTCTTCTGGTACACTCCACCAATTACTCTTTTGTACACTCAACAAAAATAATATAAAATAATATTTAAATTTTAATTTAATTTCCCTTATGAATTAAAAAAAAAAAGTTCATCAAAAAAAATTTGAATATGTCAAACTATTGCTTTAATAATTTTGTCTTTTTATTTTTCTCTTTGTTATTTTTTTGCATTCCTCTTTGTCATTCAATATATAAAATTTAATATTCATTTTATTTTTAATATTCTAAACTAGATGTCCATTTTTCTTCATCTATTCGAATACATGTTATTTTACATGACATGTATGCTCGCTCTGCTATACAATATAATAATACCACCCACAGACAGAGATAGCATTGATTTTAATTGGAACACAGAGAGAAAAAAATAAGAAAGAAAAAAACACAAATTGAAAATTTCTTATTTTCTTTTAAGAATTCCAATTTTTTATATTTTTTTTTTATTTAAATACAAAACAAAATTGTAAATGATTTTTAATCTAGGATATTTTTTTTATTTCAATTTGTTTAACAAAAGTACGAGTATGTCTGAGATTAAAATGACAGAAAAAAATTATGCTTCTCTACGCCCCTATCCATACGACCGTCTTGCATAATCTTCATATTTTTATCAATTTTTCTTAACATTTTGTTGTTTCTTGTAAAAAATTTCAAAAAACTTTTTCAATTTTGTATAATTTGAATTATTGTATGTGTTTTTTTTAAATCGAAACATTTTAATTACACTTTTATAGAAATTATTACAAGAAACAAAAAAAAGAAACAAGTCAAGAGTTGTAAAGAAGAAATTAAAGGAATTGGGGTGTCGGCAATCAACACGCCATTACAAAAACAAAAAAAAAAATTAAAAAAATAATTTGTTTCTGCATTTTAATAAACGATTTCATTGTTTTGCATTTCAAAAAAAAAAAAAAAACCAACAAAATTGAAAAACTCTAAGTACAAAACTGAATGAGAAGAAAAACCATAAAAAAATTTTTATTTTTACATTTGAACTTTTTTCCCCTCTTTTTACAGAGATTTGGTTTAGTTTTATGATTATTATGCTTTTTTTTTCAAGATTATTTTAAATAAAATTGCAAAAACAAATTTTATGCAGATCTCTGAAGTTAATTAAAAAGAACAGAAGCACTAAAAACAAAAAAAAAAAGTTTGATTAAATTTGTAACCACAATAAAAAAAAAGAAAAACTAAAAACAAATAGCTTAAGTTAATAACAAGTTAGAAATTAAAATAAGAATTTGAAAATAGCAAATTTATATAAAATTCGATTAGTGCTTAAATAACTTTAATGACTTATTTTCTCTCAGTGTACATATACCAAACTTGATCCCGGTTTTTAAGTTGCAACGAATTTTGTTTGCTGCAAAATCTTTAAATCTGTATTGAAGTCATGAATCTGTTGTATTTGATCTAGTATTTAAACATCGAGAACAATCGGGAGAGCATCGAAGTGATTGTCATCGAAAATAAAAGTAAAGGTGACATAATAAATTTTTATTACCTTTAGTTGTAATGTCTGAAAAAGATATTAAGATGGGAGCACCGGTTACAGATATTCAACTAAAAAGACTAAACAAAATATTCAAAATTTTATTCAAATAAAGCAGTTGTATTCGTGACGCCGATCCTCTAAATAAAATGCCAAAGTTTATAAAAAAATATCTTAATTATTGCTTACATACTTTATGGAGTGTACTTGATTAGTGTGAGAACTTATAATTTGAGTTGGGGGGTAAAACTGATTTTTGAAATTTTAATTTTGCACACTACGCACGTATAGATTCGTCTGCTGCTTAAATAAATTATAAGCCATTTTTTCTAAGCGTGTATCTATATCTTTAATGGCACAGATTTGATAGTTGCATTTAAAAACTTATTTTTGAATTATTCTTAGAAACAATTTTGTATTGAACAAAACTTCGAAATTTGCTTTCAAGTATTTAGTTTCGATGATATACCTATATAAAAATAAATAAACACTGAGAAAAAATAATAGTTTAATAATACGATACCAGCAACTTTTTACAAATTGTTTACACAAGATTGATAATTTTTTACAATAACAATTTTCTTAAGATCATAACTCTCACCCATTGAATTTCACACTAAATTATACAAATAAAAGAATTTTCACCGGTTGTATTAAAAATATTTCTTCAAACATTGTAAAAACAAATTTTGCTTATTTTCAAAATTGTATTCAATTCAAAAAGAAAAATTCTCAAATAATAGAAATTTAATTTTCTGCTCTCCATTCAATTTAATAATATTTTAAAATTAAGAAAAAAAAGAAAAACAGAAATACAAAATTTTACGGTATAAAAACGCGAAACAGTCAGCTTTTAATGCGTCACATAGCAACAAAAAATTTAGATGTTAATTAAATCTATCACGCTTAAAATAAAAATTAAAAACGGATTACTGTCAGCATCAATAAGTTTTTCTCTCTTTGTTTTTGTTGTTTTTTTTTTTTGTAGTGTTGGTGGCGGTGATGGTGGTGATGATGGGAATTTATGTTGCGGCATTTTTCTCCTAATTAAAAAAGTTTTACTTAAGTTTTGTAAAAAATATTAAAATGCGATGACCTATTTGAATTCTCTTCAATGTATACATTCATATACAAATTGTTATTGTTAATTTAAATGAATTTTCTTTTGATATAAATGTACATTTACTAGCTCGTATACTTATAGTTGAATATGAATGAGTCAATAAATTTTAATGAATGAATAATTATGAGAAATGAATGAATGAAATAATTGTTCTTCTTTTTTTTTTTAATTCACACTATATTAGAATATATAGAATTCCAATGATATTTAATCGGAAAAGAAATCAGAAATGAAAATGTTAAAAAATAAAATTTTGAATAAACAATTTGTAATTTAATATTTTCTTTTTTAAAATTCTTTTTTATTATTAAAATCAAGTCATGAGTTGGAGTCTTTTATTTGCTTAGACAAATGAGTTAAATGAATAATTGAGTTAACCACTCTCTAAACCAAAATTGACTAGAAAACGGGTAGTCATAACTAGCTTGAGTCACTAGATTGGAACCACTGGGAATCTAGCTCTAAATCCAGTTACTAGATTTTAGTAAAATTTTTTTACTATGGAGCTTCTAGTCATATCCTGCCAGCTTAACTGGATAATCTAGATATTATTACTAGGAGAATTTTTTACTAGAATAACCACTGTCATAGATGCTTACTATCACAAAACCTTTAAGAAACTAGCTCAAAATACTAATAACAACCCAGCTTGGTTATTAGAAATTTTATCAATCACAACCATAGTTGAAATATTGTGACTATACCACAGCGCCATTTAACTAGAATATACAGCTTTTGTGACTAGGATTCGAATGCAAGAATGCTATAAGTATGGTTATAGCTAGAATTACATGAAATTACATTTTACTTAGGTGTTTTTAGATGTTGGTCAAATTTTGAAAATTAGATATACATACTTTAATATTTAAAGAATTTTTTTAATTTTATATATAAAATTTGCGTCTATTTAAAAAAATTTAACTCTAACATTGAATAACTTTTGAAACATACCTTCCAAAATCAGCTGGTAAAAATGTTAATGACATATCATTTAATCCTAATACTGTTAAATTTTTCAATTGTGAAAAACCAGCTGGCAATCTTGGAATTGGATTAGAACTAAAATCAGCTACTTGTAAACTCTGAAGATGTTTAATGTCATCGGGAATGTCTGCGATATCTGAAATTAACATGAAAAAAAAATTTATTAATTTGAATTGTATTGAATTACTTATATTTGAGTAAATAATTTAAATATTTTTTAAATGAAACTTAATCTAAATTTAAATAAATTGATTACATTAAAAATTGTTTACTTAATCAGAATGTCATCGCTCTATAGTATCGAAATATGTGATATCGAATTTGAATTACAGCAAAATTTTGAAAGAAAATATTGTCTAGAAATATTTATATTTCTAGAAAAAATATCTAGAAATATTTATATTCTTAATCTTTTAAAAAAATTCAACAAAATTCTTACTAACACAAATCAAACAAGAAGAGATTAATTCATAACGGAACAAAAAATTAACAATTTTTATTTTAGGTCAAGAACAGCAAAATTTTCAAACATTTTTCTAATTTATATAACAATTTGAATTAATTTTCAATTTTCCATTGTATAAAATTAACCCCTTTCGATCACCATATTTTAATGATTTCATACATTAAAATTGACGTGAAACGAAACTATAAAAAAAAATACGCAATTTAATAGCAATTTGTTCTTAAATGGCAATTCAAAAAATTTGTCTGTACGTATAACATTTATAACAAATTATTACAAACAATGTAAGTATGTTATATATACTTAAAATATATTACTTAAAAAATTACCATTTTAAGAATTAACTAAGTACATAAAGTAATAGCAATTTCACATAAAAAATAAAGCCTACATAAAAAACACAATTCTCTGTCTGATCTTAATTAAATAATAGAATCTTAAATGATTTGTCAAGGCGATTTGTTATACAACGCCATCAACTTTTCAATTTATATAAATATAAAATTTATTATACATTTTGTATACTGTTCTATTTCTTATATTTTATTAATTTTTTCACTATATACACTGACTCAAAAAATTGTCCGTACGGTTATATTAAAAAAATATATTGAATAAAAAACGTATAATGCAAAATATTTTTAGATGTTATTATTTATTAATTTTAATAAATGAACATGTACAAAACTAACTCATAAAAACTTATTTTTAAATTCTTTATTAAATACGAAAAAAAAACATAAATAATTCAAAATAGTACAAAATTTAACTCAAAAAATTCTCCGTACGGTGATAACAATAATTCAAAACAAAGTTGTTAATAACTTGTGTGGTATCCTTTAGCTTTTATAACTTGAAGTAAACGGTTCTTCATTGATTTCACCAATTTTTTGGTAATGTCTGGCGAGATTGCTTGCCATTCTTCTACTATTGCGTTCTTAAGGTCATTTTTATTTTTAATGGATGTTTCTGATAACTTTTTACCCAAAACATCCCAAAGGTGTTCAATTACGTTCAGATCTGGTGATTGGAGAGGATGCGGAAGTGTCGATTTGACATTATAAAGCAGCCAGGTTTTAACTAGCAACGAGGAATGCTTCGGATCATTGTCCTGAACTAATAAAAACTCATTCGCCATTCCCAATTTTGACGCACTTTCTCGTAAATTTCTTTTCAAAATGTCCAAATATAGGTACTTGTCCATTGTAGTGTCAATAAACTCTAAGTTTCCAACTCCATTTGTCCCCATAGCTGCCCAAACCATAACATTTCCTCCCCCATGTTTAACCGTAGGTTTCAAATTTTTTTTGCCAAATTCGGTATTAGGTTTACGCCAAACAAAACGACGCCCGTCACACCCAAAAATATTAAATTTCGATTCATCTATAAATATTACATTATCCCAAAACTCATCAGGTTTATTTACATATTCCTTGGCGTAAATTAAACGTTTCGCAGCATTTTGTTTTGATATAAAGGGCTTTTTTCGAGCAATACGTGCATTATACCCTATTGAATGAAGGTAATTTCTAATTGTTTGTGGGTTTATTTCAACTTTTTCCGTCACAGAAAGCTTTGTAGCTATTTTTACAGCGCTAATTAATGGTTCTTCTTGAATATTTTTTTTAATTATTCGTTTTAAGTAGGGTGTTAAGATCGTTTTTCGGCCTCTTCCACTAACTATTTCAAAACTTTTCGTTTTTTTGTAGTTGTCTATAACATATTGCATAGATGATTTGGGTCTTCCAATTAAATTTGATATTTCTGACAAGCTTTTACCGTCTTTCTGTAACCGTATTATTAATTTTTTAGTTTCTATAGGGATTTTTTTATGAGAAGTTGACATTTTTTTTCAAGTTTCTAATTACGTTTGCTTACTTGCAAATTTGTTTTTAAATGAAACGCATATTAATAAAAACTTTGCAAACAATATTTATTGTTGCTATCAGAAAGGGGAATCACCTAATTATGCCATTCAAAAATTTTTTTCATGAGAATTTTTGTAAAAAAAATTGGCGTACGGAGAATTTTTTGAGCTAAAACTTGTACCATTTTGTGTTATTACCGTTACATTTTATGATTGGAATTAAATCTATAAAAAAATTATTATAAATAAGTTAGTATTACTTGTACTGATTAAAATACATATCAATTAATAACTGTAAACATTTGGCATCATACACTTTTTGCTTGATTTATTTTTTAAACATTACCGTACGGACAATTTTTTGAGTCAGTGTATGTATGTAAGTCTATATGTAATGTAACATGTATATAATTAGACTAAAAATTACAAGTGTTTTTTTATAGTTCATTGTTAAATTGAATGCTCTAATTTAACAATTAATTATACAAAATATCATTAAATTATATAAAATACAAAATATAACAATAAAACATAAAAAATATATTTTGTATGCATATTTATGAATTTACATACATGCATTCTTAAAACTATAAATAAATTTTTTTTATAAAACAGTTATTTTATCCGCTACAATTCACACCATTCAGGTAAGAATGGATTTATACAAAACATATATGTATGTATACAAAAAATATTTGCATATCTTTCATATACCTAAAAAAAATAAAAAGCATGTAAGCATACAAATTTAAAACCATCTAAAAAGAAGATTAATGCAAATGCTTATAAAAATAAGAAAAACTTTTGAAAATGCACAAAAATACACACAACATACGTTGCATTAATTTATGAAAAAAAATATGCTTTCACTCGGTATTATTTACGAAAATACGTATATTCATACACAGACACGTATTTATATTCAACCCAAAAAAAAATGGGGAAAAAGCAAGAGATAAAATGTCAACTTATTCTTCTAAGACACTCAATTGAAATCAGAAGATAAGTTTTAAAATAAAAACACATGGTACTCGTAATAATTTTTTTCACTTAATCAATTTGTATAACAGTTGATAATAAATTTATGGTTCAAAACCCATAATTAATCCTTAATTTTTAAGAAAATCAAATTGAAATATTCAAATTTTAAATTAAAGAGGTTTTTTGATCATTTTGAAGTAAGAATGTCACGACCAGAGTAATTTTCTAAATGTAGATACTAAAACTTGTATTGCCAAAATCTAATTGTTTTAAAGTACACATGTATTTGTATTTTTGCAAATTATGATTGTAATCAATATTAAATTACTAAATTATGATTGTCAAAATATCGTTCAGTTAATCAGACCCAGTATTTTTACCGCTCAGTAATAAATCCGGCTCAAATCATCAAATAAAATATGTATGTATAACATTGTATATTGAAAGTTTTCGTGCGAAACATAATTAATATTATATTTATTTCCCCTTACATTATTAGTAGCTTTCTTAATTATGATCGTTAATACAACTGAGAAAACTTTCATTAACAATATTAATCATACTATTCACAACAAAAATACATTTACTTATTGTGGGTAACATGATTGCTCCGCTATTATTCGAATGAATTTCTTACAGGGAGAATTCCAGTAATTTATGGTCGGTCGAGCTTTTCCATGTAAGTTTTTGATTTACAACATTTGACATATTAATTATACTACTAACATTATTATTTCTATAATTGATAACGATTTTAGTTATATCAATTAATAGACACTAAATATTTGTACGGAGCAGTCGTCTGGTATATAACACCTACTCATTTTATGATTTTTCAAACACTTTGTAACATATTGTAGTGTAATAAATTATAAATAATATAAAACGAGCAACAAACACAAATATAAGAAGAAAAACAAACAAAAACGAGAAAAAAAATAGAGTTGACCTTGTCAACTCTGTGATACCCGTACGAATTTGTTATCCTATGTGCGAATAACTAATGTGCCATAACTAACTATGGGGCAGACTATGACTTTAAGTTGCCGTATTACCATATTAATTTATGCAAAATTTCAAAATACTGTGTGTGGCAAACTGCTATTGAAGTTGTATGGCAGCTACCAGAAAGAGCCAAGCAATTTTAACGAATTTTATCAAGCACATCGGCCCCACTAATATACTCACTTGTGTGAAATCTCAATATCACAGCTTTTATAGTTTCTGAGATATAGTCAAATAACTTTTGAAGTTGTATGGCAGGTACCAGAAGGAGCCAAGTAATTTCAACGACTTTTATGAGACAAATTAGCCCTACTAATATATTCGTTTGTGTGAAATTTCAATACCATAGCTTTAATAGTTTCTGAAATATAGTCAAATAACTTTTGAAGTTGTATGGCAGGTACCAGAAGGAGCCAAGTAATTTCAACGACTTTTACCAGACACATCGGCCCTACTAATATATTCACTTGTGTGAAATCTCAATATCACAGCTTTTATAGTTTCTAAGATATAGCCAAATAACTTTTGAAGTTGTATGGCAGGTACCAGAAGGAGCCAAGTAATTTCAACGACTTTTATGGGGCATATTGGCCCTACTAATATATTCGTTTGTGTGAAATTTTAATATCATAACTTTTATAGTTTCTGAGATATAGCCAAATAAATTTTGAAGTTGTATGGCAGCTACCCGAACCGGTATCCCGATCATGTCCAATTTAAATAGGGTTCTGGCGCTTACTACAATAAATCATTTGTGAAAATTTGGTGAACTTAGCTCAATTAGTTTTTGAGTTATCGTTCGGACGGACGGACGGAC